GAGGGGGGGACAGAGAGAGCAGAGAGAGCAGAAACAGCAGGAATAGCAGTAGCAGTAGCAGCAGCATGGCCCATGGGCGGCTGCCGTCCGGGCAACCCAGGCGACCCGGGTAGCCACAGCGGCATGATCGGGACCTGGACCTGGGGAGGGTGAATAAGCGGCACATCTGCTGTTGTGACGGTGAAGGCGGTTAATCCCACGCAGGAGGGGTATAACCCACCCAACCAGTCGCCGAGGCCCTGGTGGGCAAAGCATCTAGCTCATTCACCCCACGCTTTTCCCAACCCGTCCACGTCTCTTCCTCCGTCCCCTCCGTGACTGTTTTTCGCTAAACTCGCATGACGTCCAAATCATGTTTCGGTGGTCAACCCTGCTGCCGCACCTGGTACTGCTCAGGCTTAAGCTTGCCATCCAACACAGCGTCCACGAATTTCCGCAGGTCTTCCGTCATAAGGTTTTCGTCATAGATGTCATCGAGATCCGGTGCTCGCTGCTCAACGGCACCCCGCACTGCTTGGAAGAAGACATTTTGTGTGTCGCCCCCGAATCCTGGAAGGTTATCGTAGAGAGGCGCTGCGACCAACACGCCTGCCGATGAGAGCTGAAGAATTGTCGCCGCAACAGCGGCCGCTGCCGAGCCTGAAATTGTGCGCGAGGAGGTCGTGGACGAGCGAGCGGCGGCTGAACACGCCAACATCGAACTCCGACTTGACCGGCAGGCGCGGCAGCTACGTTGGCGAGATGCCAAGGAACGCAATTGATTGCGTGTTAGCATTTTGGGTTGCGATCTTCAACTCGTAAGTAAGGTGCCCCGATGAATGACCTGAAACAAATATTGCTCTTATGTCTACAGTATCCTTGCAGCAGGTTATAAGGAACGCAGCTTTGAAATCTGCTTCTAACAAGCCCTGGAGAACCTCCCCTGCTCGCAAATCTTTGGCTAGCCACCGCAGGCCAGATAGGTGCATCGCACGGACCCACCGACCCACATGCCACGATCAGCCCCGCTTTGCGTACAGCTCTACAGCTGCTTACTTTTCCTATTCGGCTTTCGTCTAACAATCGACTAAAATAAGCTTGAAAACTCGTGTAGACATCAGCTACAGAAACTCTCTAACGCGCAAATATAGGTTGTTATGCGCAGTCGCTGATCCACGACCGTGCTAATCTATGCAGAAGTGCCCCAAACAATCATGCCGACGAGGTCTGCCTGAGCAGCGTTTTGGATGGTAAGGTTGCGCCTTTTTGGCGGGAACCCTGCTGCGAAACAGCATAGCCTTCACCCCGCTGAACAATTATAATTCTCCGTCACCGAAATCGTAACGGATTCGCGCCACCCCTGCTGCCCTGCCCTGCCCTGCCCTGCCCTGCCCTGCCCTGTCCTGCCCTGCATGTCACCAAGCAGGAGAGGGCAACCTATCTTCCTGGGCCAGCAGGGCGGCTGCAAGCTCTCCGCGACGCCGGACAGCCGGTAAGGTCCTCTCGTCCTCTCCCCGCGTCTCCGCCCTCCCGCATTCCCCTGCCTCTTTCACCCCCCTGACCCCACCGTCGCCATCAACACCTCAATCCGCAGATTACCGCCGCTTCCCTCGGTCTCGTGGATTTCGGAGCTGGCGGTGGTCTCGGAGCCGGTTTCGGAAATGGTTGTTCACCTGGTCGCAGTGATGACCCGGACTTCTCCTCCCCCTCGTGGCTGGCTGCACTGGAGAGCTTCGACGCGGAAAGCTATGAGGGTGAGTGTGTGTCTGTCCGTTTGCATGTGTGTGTATGTGTATGTGCGTACACGTGTGTGTATATGCGTGTCTCGCGCCCTCCCCCTACCCCCCGGGCCCCCCCTCCTCCCACAGACGCCAGGGTACTGCTGCCGTACTCGCTCCGGTCCGCGGCCGCGCAGCCATTCCAGAAGATCCCCCGGCTGCTGGTGCTGGTTTCGGCGCTGACCCCCTCGCCAGGGGGAGATGCGTTTGCGCTGCTCAAGGTGGGGAAAGGGGGGAAGGGGAAGGACGAACCACGAGCGAGTGAAGCTCATGCCAAGGAAAGACTGATGCGCCAGAAGTAAAGGAGGCATAACTAGCCAGTCGGCGGTTGTGAAGCAGCAGTCCTCGCGCTGATGTAGTAGTCATGACG